CAGAAGGACATTACCAGCAAAGACAAGGGACACTAGGAAGGCCTTTTCTGTCCTATTAGACGTCATCGGCTAGTGATAACTTACCCCAGTGTGGCAGCTGAAATTGCTGCCACACCGAAATTTGAACTCGCGATCCCCCCCGTCAGGGCGAACGTCCTAACAGTTGAGCTACGAGCTCACAGTCTGGCTGGTATTAGATCGGGAATATACAGTGGTATATACGCGTACACCGAACTAAGGGAAAGTGCGCCGCAGTTTCGGCAAGTGCGATCGAAGTGAAAAGGACCTCCATCCGTCAAAAGGGGAACCTGTGTCACGGAAGGCCCTAACTACTTCAGTGAATGGCCGCAGAACGGTGAAATTGGGCTGGATGGCGCGGTAGTTTACCTGTCAACGTCAACATTTTCACGACAGAAAAATAAAAAGCTGCAGGCGGTGAGCGATCAACGAGGGAGCACTTCAATTAGCCATGATCCTAGCTAACCAGCTTTAGAATCCGACTTCTGGTTCACTGTCTACGCAACGACTATAAGACCAGAAGGATTGTATTAGATAGGAAGGCGACAGTTTGTTTGGGTTCCACCTACCCTAGCCGGAAAGATACGCCTGAGCTAGCCTCCTGGGTGGTCACAGTGTTTTCAGAACAACAACAACAAAAAGGAGTTGAAAGGAAAGACGTCCATTTTTCTTTTTTAAAAGATTAGAGTCGCTTGAGCCGGCTCCTTCCTTGGTTCTCTCTGTTTTCATAAAGCACTTTAAGCCTAGGAATAGTTTAGTGGAATTAAATAATAGTTCAGTTGGCAGGAAGGACGGACGGACGAAGAAAGCGATATTAAAAGGAGAAAAACTCGCGGGAGGGAAGGGGAGGGGAGGAGTAGGAATGCGTGTATGCTAGGCGCTTCTACCCAGTAAAGGGCACGTTTCGGCGGTTATGCCGAGGAGACGGGATTGGGAGGAGCAATAGGAGGGGCGACGGAGGTAAGATGAAACGCCTGAAGATGTGCTCCAGCGGTAACGGCAAAGAAACGTGCCAAAGTCGCTCCAGCGCGTCCCCATGGAACTCACGAAAGGGTGGCTAGGAAAGACGAAGGGGGGTAGGATCCAGAATGGAGAAGACAGGCGTGGAGGATGGGCACCAGCCTACGCGCCAAGTTCAATGTGCATGTCGTCCAATTCCTTCTTGATCTTGGCGTTTTCCTCCTTCTGCTTGGTTAGAGCGGCTATAGAAATAGAATAAATAACCGGATATATGTGTAGCGGACATTACTTTTCGCCAGAAACCTAGACAGTCAGACGGTTAGTAAAGAATCAACTCGAAGAACATTTCCCAACTGTTTAAGTCACTCTTGGACCAACAGAAGTGAAAATGCTATTTCTGAGTAGCATGTCAAGAGGAGGGAAGCGTTAACCGGGAGAAGTTTATCTGTAGTCCGGCGTTTCGGGTTAAGATTTCAATTGTAACAGCAACAATTTGCTGCAAGACAAATAAAGCTGTATACACATGCGAGACTGGTTGATGACAACATGTTGCAGTACGTCGGTCGACAAACGGGACTTTACTGAGAGCTCTTTAGAGCCAAGGGCTATCCGTGATCATTTGTTGTGAAGACTCGAATCTCACAAAGGGAACGAAGTGGAGAAGGCAGTCAGTCTAAATCGTAGCGGAGCAATCCTGTATGAAGGGGTTCCCGAAGCCGTGGTTATATCCCTTGCAACACTTGGAACAAGAGTTGCTCATTGGCTTGATTCGGTCATCCGCCGGTAGGTACTGCGACTAAAAGACTCACATCTAGCTTTAGTGCGGTCACAGGAAGTGCAATTATGTCGGCGAAGACAGTCGACGTCTGTAAACGCAAATGCATGATCATCAGTTGGCTGGTGGAATGCTGGAGTCAACGCCGGAATTAGCGACCCGTGCCGTGCAGATAAGACAAATCTTTAATCTTCACACCGTTGAGGCTGTGGGTCGCACGTCAAGACAAGTTCCGGAAACATGAAAACTGCTAAGTCGACTCTCACA